CAGCAAAATCCTTTCGAAACTGATACCGTTAGGCACTGCTCTCATTCTGTCTTTCCTCTTCCTGTCATTCAGTTCACCGCAGAGCAGGGTTGGCAACATAATTTGTGAAATGAAAATACAGGGTTCCTTGTTCAAAATTTATTACATATTTCAAGATGGCTATAGCTGAACATTAAGCCAAGCATGAGAGCCTTCTAAGAGCGAGGCCTTGTATAATTAGACAGGTTACAGGTCCATGAAGCCCTCTGCATTGAGTTTGGTTTTTCGTTTCCTTTGAAACATAGTTACATTTTCAGTCTTTCTTTTTGTAACAGGGAAACTAAAAAATAAAAATTCCTCATGACAGGGAAATATAATTGGTTCTTTACCTGCTGCACATTTACCTTCCTTAAATGGCAGCAGGAAATAACAATTTTAATTAATTTCTTGGTTTTAATCTTTTATTTGCTGTATCTGCTAATGTATGTAAGGATGCAAATTAGAAGCCAAGATAATGAAATTATTCTGCATATGAGAAGTGATGGGGAGGAGGAAAGAGGCTGGAGGCTGCTAGGGTGGAGACGGTGACCTGACAAAAATACTTGGGAGCTGGCTGCTGGGAGATTTTGGAGAGGGAGAGAGGAAAGGGGGACAGTTGCCCCAGGGAGGAAAGAACAAGGAAGTTAAAGGGGATTTTATAAAGCTTTGCAACTTGGCAAGTGATGTCAACCTTGTTTGGCGTCATGGTGGGTTTGGTATGCTACTCCTATTTTTTTTTTCCTTTACACTTTTAAATACATACATAAATAGCAAAGATTAATACATATACAAATATTAATCTGTGTTCCACCTAAAATCCTCATGTACCAATAGTGGTACTCATACCACACTTTGAGAAATACTGCTTAAGTTAATTTATAAATAATTGTCTTTCAGAGTAGAAAAGAAACAAGAGGTCAAATATGTTTAGGCTTGTGGTTTAGGCTGCCACTGATGGTGCTTATCTGAGTAAAGATATTTAATTGCTTTCCCCATTTCAAATGTACATTGAAATGACCAAAAGGTCTACAATTGGTGAAAATCTGGAGAACCTAGACAAGTATCATCTTTAATCTGTATGCCAGAAACATACAATTTTTTCTGAACAAAGGCCAGAACAACTGAGAGACGTCAGAGCAACCTGTGTTTCACCTCAGGCTAAGGCCAAGCCTGTTTGGCAGGGGCTAGAGGCTATGGCACTCTGAATTGGGGACTCTAAGTTGGGAGATCAATCTCTATCTGGAGAGACTCCAAAGAGAACACCACTTGCTGAATATAACCCAGAGTGGAGACTCCAGTCGCAGTGTGCTACTGCCAGCCAACACTTACTTCAGATGGTGTGCTTTGTCAAGTGGCAACAAGGACAGTCAATTGGAGAAGGCAGGGTGGGGTGAAGGGGGATCCCCAAGCAAACAAAGGGCAGCAGAGAACAAAAGTCCTTTTCCAACTGAAGCTCCCTTCGTGTGTCATGTATGACAGCAGGCCCTCTAATCTGGCAAAGTGTGCCTGGTGATCTTAATTTCATTTCTTGTCCCCTGTGCTGGATGCACCTTTCTAGGTCTTATGTGTGGCCATTGACTTCTAATCCTATGTTTTTTAGCTTAAATATCATCTCCTCAGAGAGGCCAGCCCCTAAAGTAGGTCCCCTACCTTATTCTGTATTGGTATCCACTTTCTTAATAGTACTCACTACAATTTGTAATTATTTAATTTGTTTGTTTACTTCTTTTTGTCTATCTTGTCCATGAGGATAGAGATTTTGTCTGGTTTGTTCACTCATATATCCCCAAAATGTAGATTATAGCAGGTATTCAGTAATGACTAGGGATTAGGAGAAAACAAACAGGATAAAATGGATTATTTTTAATATTGTTAAGATATGTAATAGTCATTGGCATGAATGAACATTGATGCATAGTACTGAAATATATAAAACAGTTTTAGAAATTGAAGTAGAAATGGAAAAAATAAAGACATAAAGCATTTATAATATAATAATAATATAATTTAACTTGATTTAACATTTATAATAGAGTTCATTGTGAGAAACACAATCAAATATATGTGTATGGAAGTTGGTCTCATTAAAATAAGAGAGAAGATATTATCATTAAAAATTACACGTGAATATTCTTAGATCGTATCCTAATAGTTACTTTGTGAGTGGTTGATTTCCTAGGAAAAATAAAAAATTGACTCATAACCATGAAGAAATAAAAAGTTAAGGATCTACCCCTCCAGAAGATACAGATTCAGGCTTCTTACGCATGAGCTTTCCCGAAACTTTAATGGATCAAATAATTCCTGCACTGTTTAAACTCTTTCAATAATAATAATAATAAAAGACAGGAAGCATCTTAGATTATTTTATGAAGTGGGTATAACTCTCATGCCAAAACCTACGTATATAATACACAAAAGAAAACTACAGACACACTTCACTTAGAAATGTTGATTCAAAAATACTACATAAAGTATCAACATTTATGGGTTTTATTTCAGAAATGCAAGAATATTTCAATATTGAAAAATATATTAACATTCAACAATTAGAAGGCAGGGGAAAATATGGTCAAGGTAGTAAATGTTAAAAACATTTTATAAAATCCCACTTCCATTTTTGATTAAAAAAGAAACAAAACAACGATAGAAAATTTGTAAGTAGGGCCAGCTGGTTACCTTAGTTGGGTTAAGTGTGGAGCTATAAAACCAAGGTCAAAGGCTTGGGTTTCTGTACTGCCCAGCTGCTAAAAAGAAAAAAAGAAAATATACAAGTAATCTAGAACTAGAAGAATACATCCTTAATTTAATAAAGAATATCTATCTTAAACTAGCAGGCAATATTATACTTAATGATGAAACACTAGTGCATTTCCATTACAGTTAGAAAAGACTCAATAATGCCCATTATAATTGCTGTTATTCAACATAGTGTTAGTAGTTCTAGCCCATGCGATTAGAGAAGAAAAAGCAATGAGCTGTTAATATTGGAAATAAAGGAGACAAAACCATCTGTATTTATTGCTAGTATGATTGTTTATCTGGAATGAAACTGAAGGACAATGACAACTAACAAGAGTCAAGTGAGGTAGGTAGTGGGTTAGAAAATACACAAACAAAAATCAATAGCTCTCTTACATACTAGTAATCAGGTAGAAAATGTGGTGATAGAGATCATATTCACATAACAACAAAATATATATGATATCTAGGAATAAACATAATAAGAAAGGTGCAGTACCTGTATCAATGCAACTACAAACTTTACTCAGGGGCATAGAAAGAAACTTAAATGGATGGAGAAACAAAGCTCTCAAGTGGCAAATTTTGTAAAGTAATCATTTCTCTCCAAATGAGTCTACATTTAACTGGATTCACGCCTAGCTCATGGAACGTACAATTAATGTTTTTTGAATGAATATTAAATGTGAACATAATTACAATAAAAATCTTATCAGGATTTTTTTTGACTTCACAAAATGATTTTGAGGTTCATCTAAAAAATTATTTAGAGTTGAGAATAAAATTTTGATAACAAAGACTAATGAAAGGATTTCCAGATCAGTTATTAAAACATATTAACAACATAATATAAATTATAACAGTGGTATTGGTGCATGAACAGATAGATTAGTGACACAGAATAGAAAGTCAGGAAACAGATCTATGACCATATCAGGACTTAGAATATGATGATGATGTCATAAGTAGAAAAGGATGGATTTAATACATTGTATAAGAACAGCTGGAAAAAGTATAATCCCTACTCCATAACATACTCCAAAATATATTCCAAGTGGATTAAAGATTTAAAGGTAAAAAGAGAAACCATAAAATGTTAGAAGGTAATATTAGAGTATAGAATGACTTTCTATACATAACCTGAAAGGAAGAAATAATAAAGAAAATGATAGATTTGATTACATAAACAATTTTAAATTTCTGAACCTTTCCAAGCACCATAAAAAATGTATAGGTAGCAGACTACATTGAAAAACATATTTGAAATGTGGCCCATTACGGGATAAGTTTCCTACTATGCAACAAATGTATGTAAGCTCATTGTTGACTGAAGGTGCAAATTCAAACAAGTGAAATTTTGTTTTATTTTTGCCACCAAATTAGCAAATAACCAAAAAAAGGCGAGGGTGCAAGAAAGCTGGTAGAACTGTACTTTGGGGTAGCTTTGCTGGAAGGTAATTCGGACATGGTCAATCAAGAGCCATTTCTTAAGTATTTATCTTAAGGAATTTTTCATGAATATCTGCAAATAGGTAGCTCCAATGATAGTCCCTGCAATATTCTTTATAATATCAATAAATTGTAAACAACCTAAATGTTTTCCTATGGGGAAATGGTTAACTCAGTTATAACAGAGCCATATAATGGGATACTGTGACATTATAAAAGACAGTATTGGGAAATATTTAATGATATGGACAAATCCATGCTATTGTTTTCTCTTATATAGAAGGGAGTCATGCAACTAAGATTAAAAACAGTTTCGTCTTTTTTTTTTTTTTTTGAAATATTGAGACAGAAGGATAAGAAAGTTTTACTGTATTTAAGGCCTTAATTTTTATCAGTATATGAGGAAGCCAACATATTTGCAAGTTTCTGTGATGGGGTCTGATTAAGTTGGAATACATACCATTTCCATTTTGTCAGTTGATTAGGCCTCTAAACATCAATGTTGTTTGTCAGCGGCAAGCTCACTATTGTAAATCAGTTTACAGTGCAACAATGTGATATGTCAGCCTATAGCTTAAGCATTTGTAAATTTAATACTTGTTTTTTTCAGTTTCATAGTAGAATTGTATTCTGATTATTAGTAATACCTAAGCTGTTATGAGATGAAAGTACAATATCTGTTAGCTATTACTTTCCATAATTAATTTAAGCAAAGGTAATTACTATTAAGGAGTCACTGAAAGTGATGAATGCTTTATATGTTGAGATTAATAATTTCACTTCTTCTTAAGGCTTCTCAAATTATATATCTCCTGATCAATATATCACTGATAATGGAAATGGACAATCTCTGAAGGAAGAAGCTGCATGGGATAGTCTGTTGAATTTCTTCTTTCCAACAAGTAAGTCCTTTTTTTCCCCCTGATGTCCTTGTTTTGAAAACAATAATTAAATGCTTAGGCGGCAACGTGGATGGTGTATTGGCATTGGAGTAGAATAGACCCAAGTTTGAATACTGGCTCTGCCTTTTGCTTTAGTCATGATAATCTCTCTGAATCTCAGTGTCCTCATCTTTAAAATGAAGATATTTACCACAAAGAATTTTGAAGATGAACTGATGCAATATTTCTAAGGCATTCCATGAATGTTTGTTACTCATTATAAAATACTTTTCCTTCACAAATATCTAAACCTTTCACAATTTACCTGAATGGCCTCACCTCAAATTTAGTCACTGACCCAGTATTGTGAAATCGATGTCTTCTGCGGTGTTAAGCAGGGTACTGTGTGGCTCTGATGTCATGGAATATGCCAGATGTTTTCTCATCTGTCTTAATGATTCTTAATGATAAAAAGTCCAGGCTTCAAGTCAGATTGTCTTTTTGTGATTCTGTACATAATGTTTTTGAAGCACATGATGACCCCTGAGAATTATTAACCACAAGTAAACAGGTTTTGTTTTTTACAGCATGTCATGCCCTTTCAAGGAGAAGCTTCACACAAATTGGCATATGTTAATTACAAAGATAGAGCTTTTATTAAAAATCATGCTGAATTTATTCCAGCAAAATTTGATGTACGTATATAAGCTCAAAATTATATCCATTGTTTAATTCCAGACCCTACCACTGAATTCTTCTGTGACCTTGCATAAATCTCTTCATGTTTCTCTATACTGGTTTAATCAAGTACAAAATGGGCATTATAATACCTACTGCCAGTGGGAACAGAAAAATAAACGAGTTCCTTAAATTAAGAATACTCCCATGATCAAGTTGAGTGAGAAAAAGTAATCTGGGAAGGTTAGTTATGTTGTACAAGCTGGAAGAATGGTTTAGTAAGTGCCAATGTTGGTTTCATGGGGGCACTTCAAAAAGTTTGTGGGAAAAATGCAATTAGATAATACAAATCTTCACAGCAACAGAAGATATGAGCTTTGAAGTTTATGAAAATAGCAAATGTAAACTGTCACATAGTTACTTATAATAACTACATTATATAAACACCAACACCACCTTTAAAAATATTCTAAATGAGATATCTGTATTTTCCAAATATTTCTCCAACCTGGCACAGTAAGTTAAACTAAAGTCAATTGAGTGAAAAAACAGTTTTGCTCAATAAAATCAAATTTTTCTATTTTAATAGAAACATCTGACCTGGGTTGATTCAAATCTTTGAAAACAGAAATTAAATATTTATAAAATGTACATTACTGTCTTTCTTGTAAAGAATAGTTATGGGTTTATAAAATGTGAAACATTTTTAGCCAACTTATTTTCTTTCCTGTATAATTGAAAATAAGCACTCTTGCCACTTAAGCATTAGAAAAAGAGTTTTTTTTTTTTTTGTCATTAGGCTGTTGTTTATGAAACATTCACCTCTTACAGATTGAAATGATAACCTTGAAACAGACTGCCAGGGAAGCTTGAGAGGTCACGTGATCTTTCTCCCTTTGGACACAATTATATACTTAAACCAGATAAAAATGGTTCTTCTCTTTTTATTCTTTAAAATTAAAAGCGTCTGTTAGTAATTTGAATCAGAAAGTTAATTTTAATATCTAGCAAAAAAGCCCATCAGATGCAGTGTAAGTATAGGATAACAGAAGCTCAGCATTAGAAGGGAACTTAGAGATTATTTGGTCCAGTCTCTTCTATGATTTAAACCTTCTCTTTAGCATTTCTGGAAAGTGGTGTTTGAACAGGGCCAATGGTGAGAAACTCAGCAGGTCGGAAGTCCATCCCATCCTTGACTAGGTCTGACTTTTGTCATCCTTTTCTGTTTGTGTAACACCCAGAACTGAACATGGTATTCCAGATACAGCTTAACCTGGGGGAGCAGAGTCACTCTGGACCTGGCAGAATTAGAGAACAGATTGCTTAGACTATATAACAGCAAAGTAGGAAAAGTTCTCACATGTCTAAAATGTTTAGGAAATAAATATCCAGGAGAACTGATAATGCATTAAATTTGTGACCTTGCACAAGTTACTTTGATCCTTTATTTCCTTATTTTTAAAAAGGAGATTGTAAAACTTAGTTTGGGAGTTTGGTGTAAAGATTAGTAGTAATGTATGTAAAGCAAAGTGCCTGGCCCACATAGGTGCCTAATGAATGATAGCCATTATTATTTTTACTTTAGCTTCAGGAATTGCCAATCTTTAGAAAAGAGGAATATAGTAAAATACACTAAGAGTTTAAACTATGCTTAGAACAAATTATATTGTTCTTTGCTGATGTTGAAGTGCTTCAGAGTGATTATAAAAACATTAGTTATTACTTTCTTAAGTCAGTATTTGTTGACGATATAGGAGATTGAACTAAATCTTTTCTGGCCTTAAGACATATTGTGGAGGTTTTTCTTTTTCAATACAAATCTGTTATTGGCCTTTTTAGTTATTTGTTTTTCTTATAAAGCAGGATATTTTTAAAAAATCAGCTATTTGAACTTGCAGGTTTAGATTCAAATATGTACAAATTTACTGCTGTTGCATGAATCTTGGTGTTCATGCCATAAATCATTGCCTATTCAAAATTATAGTCATAACTTAAGAACAAAAGAAAGAATCTTAAAATATATTGTAGTGCCAATATAGTAAGTGTTCACAAATGTAGGTCAATACTAATAGTATCACTTACCTTCCCCTCTAGCAGTAAACCATGTGAATTTTACTTACATTTGTTCTCATTCATGCATTCAGTGAGTTCTGCAGCTTAGTAAAATTAAGTAAGAGGGTATCTGTGGTATTATTTTAACAGGGTGTTAGTTTTAAGGGCACTTGGCCTGTTGTTATTTAGTTCCTTTTGTGTTATATTTGTATCACCACCACTCAGCTCATAATTTATAGTCCTTTTAAAACTACCTTACCAGTGATCCATTAACAACTTGTATTTTTATGCAGTTCATCTAGAATTGAAAATGTGATGTTAGATAACTGTGGTAACTTTTAGTTTAACTCTTATTTTTGGCATTCATTACTGTTTGTGTATGTCATTCAATCTTTTCTTTGAATGTACTAGCTTAAGTGTTTGTTTTTCTCTTTTTGCCTTGCAGTAATTATTTAGTTAGAAAAAGTGCTTATTAACCATTCTGAATTCTCTTTCTTGGATTTTTGTTTCTAAAAGCATGCATTGTAAAGGAGAATCAGGTGGTGATGCCTTGTATAAAGGATGAAGATCTTGAGGAGAGAAAATGTTTGAGATACAAATGCTGTTTTTCATCATCTGAGACCAGTAAATTCCGCTGCTTCGCCCCATTAAAAGACAGTAAGTTCATCCTCTTTCATTTATTTTATTTCTCTTTTTAAAAATTGAAAGTTCGCAATGGCATAAGTTCATGTTTGGATCTTCCAGCTTAACAGTTAAAGGGGGCTCCCAGCCCTAGAATAGTGAATTATTTAGAGCAGTTTCTGCTTAGCCCTTAGACAGTGACTATGGCAGTTCAAAATTAGTCTCGTCTTTTCTTTTGTTTTAGTCATTCTGTCCTTTGTCCCAGAGGCTTCAGGCTCTATTAAGTGCAGCCCTCAGTGCCTGAAAGAAGATACCACTTGGGCATGCCTTAGCTTGCTTTTCTCTCCTCAGCTTCTCTTCCTGAGTAGAATTCTTCCCATTTGTCTTCAACATCTCAGTATGTAACAATAGACTTGAATGTTTCTTGTTAATGTCTGTTTATTAGTTTTTCTTTGTTATGTTGTTTTTGAATTTGGGTCTTAAGATTTTTTTTGTTTACAAAGTTTTCAGAACTAGACCATCTGTTTTTGCTACCTTCATTTGGATAATAGGGACATATTACCAGTTGGTCCCATGATGAACTGATTTGATATGATGAAACACTAACAAATACTACAAAGAGGGAACATGCAAAACATAGTCCCTATTCAATTTATAGCTCTTTGTTGAACGTCTAGTATTAATAATGGAAACTAAAACCTGATCATGAATATAGTATTACAATTTTAACACTGTCACATGGTATTTATAATTCATTCATCAGTTTGGTCTTTATATTATGTGTGAAGAGACATTTGGTTCTTGTAAAGGAAGAAATTGAACCGTGACTTACAATTCCCCAATCACTTTAGAATGCATTTCCCAATGAATAAAAGACTAAAATACGCTTATTCACCTGAAAATTCTTGACTCCTTGTTTAATTTAACATTTTGTAATTTCGAAGTAAACATTTAAAAGCCATTTCTTTACCAAGTTAACTGTTCACAGATTAATCTGTGCTTTGAGTACTCTAGGATGTATAACATATGGCCAAGGAAAAAGCACACTTAGGACCGTAGGAAGAAATACATACTATATATAGTAATAATCTGTTAACTAAAACAGTAGGATAATTTTATTAAGGCTTTCATTGGGAGGCACATTTTGAAAGTGTAGCCTTTAGTTGTATTTCAAGAACATGTCATAAACTCCTACTTATAGAATAGCAAAGACATTTACCTGTCATATAAGAATGCCTCTTCATTTTACTTTATTAACTAATGTCTATTTATGTATATATATAAAATCTTTATGAAAAAGCTCAGATTTGCCTCTTTTGCTTAAGTAATAAAAGTAACAGGATATAATTAAACCAACAGAGCCTAAGCAGATGTTACGGATCTTTGGGTTTGGTGTGATCAACATGATCATTCTGGGATGTCTGCCCATTTTCTGCTGTTCTCTTTTCCGGAGGAGGTAGGCAAACATAGACTTTTATTTGCTGATAGCTAAGTATACATAGATATTTGTGTGTAGACATGTTTATTCATATGCTTCAAAAACAAGAGGATTATGTTTGTGTTCCTTATGTTGAAAGAAAGTAGTTTGAGAAAAATCTAAAAGTAGAGTTACTGTAATATTTTTTAAAAACACACATGCTATTTTATTTTTCCTTAGATTTGAGATACTCTCTTGCATAATGTCTGTACCTTCCCTCATCGGACAAAACCCCAACTAAAAGGAAAAATAAATCAGGGAGCTGGAAGTGTGTGGAATGGGAATGGCTATTAAGTGCAAACCAGAAGTATTACTGGAAGTGTTAGTCTCCGCTGAATCATTTGTCACTGATCTTTAATGGTCTGTCTTCAAGCCAATTTTTACCAGATTTCTTCTTAGCATCTTATACAAAATCCCAGTGGATTACTAACATAGTACTTCCAAATTGGTTTGGTTTTGTTTTTCAAAAAATAGCTCCCCACCTACTAGGACAGAGTGGGTGTGGAGGTAGGGAGCTGGGCCAGGACTAGAGTGAGGTGAGGCACTTAGAGCACAAATGTTAAGGAAGTACTCACTGTTAGATTTGTGCCAGTGCACTGTTGGCACTGTCACAACCCTTAGAATAAGTACCTTCTTAAATTCTCTGGTAAAGAGAAGGTGCCTGTTGAAGTTGAAGCATCTTTGACATTTTTGTTTGAGTCAATGGGAAAGTAATATTAGAGTTACCAAAAAAAAAAAAAAAAAACAGTTTAAGTTTCACTACAATATTTAGACTATATGTATGTTACCTTACTTTCCATAAAGATCATCAAGTCTTAAATCACTTTAACAGCCTATTTTGAATCTACTGATGGGTCACTGCATTTCAGCTATTCCAGCTTGCATATGACAGTCAATTGTTTTCTCAGCTTTCACTTAGTTTTTTGTTCCGAGTGGGTAATCTCTATTCCTTAGTTTCTTTCATTTTTTTTCTTCTCTCAGGTGATTGGGAGTAGGAATGGAATTTTTGGCCCTTCCTTCTTCCCTTCAAAGCTTGGTTTCATGTAAAATGTAACCCATGAATAAGAATAAAATAGTATTTGCTAGAAATTGGTGGCTAGGATTATGCCATGCAATTTAGTGAGTGTCTGGGATAATAAACTTGGTATAATAATTCCATTATAGCCTCTCTGTATGCCTCTGCTAAGGAGTTTTATGGGGATGTTCAAGTCCACAGGCTTTTTTTCCTCTAAAATGAAATCCAAAATATTATCCCTGATAACAATATATTGTCTTCTTTCTACACAATACAAACTGCTTGAGATACCTGAACAATGTGAATAAGCATAAATATTGAACACCAAATATTTTGGTTTACTATGTTTTATGTATTTATTTTACTATGTTGTGTAACAGCAGTATGCCCCTTCCATCATCCTGAGCTGCCTGTCAGGACCCCAGAGCAGGTGGCAATTTCAGCTTGCTGCTTAGCTGAGTTTTCAGGAATAATGACTTAAGAGTGGTGGGCACTGTCAGCTTTTCCTGGTAAGCTGATTTTAGAGGCAAGAGGAATTATCGTGTAAGAACGGAGATCCCACCCGATACCAAATAAGGATCTAATTGGAAGCCAAAGGCTGCTGAATCCCCATTTTGGGGGGCAAGATATCTTCTTAGAACTATCCCCTTAACTCACTTGCAGTTCTTCATTTCAAAGAATAAAGAGGTAGATAAAATGTCAGAGTAGGTAAAATAAATAACCCCATAAAAGGGAATAGATGCAGCAGTAAAATCAATACATAGTGGCTTAAAAAAGTAAGGGAAAGAAGACAAACACAGTTTCAGGTCTAAATCGGACGAGCTAAAAGCCAAGTGCAGATCTGCAGTACCGTGATCTGGGCCTCTGTTGAAATAACTCTGTTGCTCTTTCAGCATTGGAAGATACCCTTAAGCTCCTCCTCCTGCTGGGTCTTGTCTTATACATTAGATACTTAAGCATTCCTTTAAGAAAAAGCTCTTGGGGCTCTATTCTTGGTAAGCCAAAACAAATGATATTTTCACATTCTCCGGTTCCTGCAATTTGGACAGTGCCTTTTATTTACCAATTGCCTAAGGAGCTAACAACTGGCAAGAGCTGGAGAGAAGAAAACTGAGAAGTAACCTGAGCAGGTGGGAGAAGTGAAAGCAACTTAAGGGAATAGGATAATTGCTCTCTGGAGCCAAATGTACTTCATTCTTTTGGTTCCTAATTCATGCTTTCCACAACTGACCACATTCCTTCAGTGTTTTCTTGTGCAAGGTGTTATAGAGAATACAGGAATGTCTAAGTCATAGGCTCTAATTTTAAGGAGCTTAAATCCACCTTAAAACAAATCCCAAGCATGACACATTTAAACAACAATATAAGATGGAATATAATTGAAGACTAAAGTGAATGGTAGCAGTAACATACAAAAATTCTGAAGCAGTGGGGCTCAGGGCGAGTGGGACACAGCAGGGCAGGCTCCACGGTGGAGGTGCATTTGAGCTGGGTTTTGGAGGGAGGACAAGATTTGGATTAGATGGGGAGGGGGCCTTCCCAATGAATTCATTACATCCAGATGGGGGTCTCCTCACTATACACCCCTTAACTGCTTGTCATGTCTCAGCAGAGGTGACTGAAATTTGCTCCTGGAATAATTTATAACTGAATCTCTAGTTTACTTCTATTTGACATTAGTTTAGGCATGATATGTATCAGGTACACAGAGAACTCAAGCTGGCTTGAACTGGTCACACATATACGAAAGGAAGCAGAGAGCATTAGTGAAAAGCTTTCTAAGAATTTGCTACTAATAGCCTTATTAAACTAGCATATAAGATGTGTCTTGAAATTCATTGAATCCTCAAGATTATGTAAGATCTATTTGTATCCTCATTAATAGGGATCAGAAGCTTCATTATGTTTAAGTGTCATGGTAGGCTTAAGACTTACAGGAGAAGGAAGGAAAAGATCAAGCGGATGGGGACAAAAGGAAGCAAGGGGAGGGGGTAACTAGAGGGAGGAAGGAGGAGGGGGTTAGCAGAATTGTTCCCATTATAGTAATAGAGTGCCAACAGTAGTCTCCAAATTTAGTTTCCAATCTTTATCTGTTTTTAGATAAAGTTTAAATCTGTGGGCATATGCCAGTTAAACATCTGTGTATCATATAGTGATATGATATCTGAGTGTATACATAGCTTTGATAAGGTGGAAAATTCAAACATTATAATACCATGCCTATTAAACTCACATGAAGTGCATTTTCATGTTCTTTTTCTTCCTATCAGGTTGGATTTGTAACTTTTAATTAAGAAAAAATATCAGAACTCAGTCTGAAAATGATAAAACTATGTTTTCTTTCAATTAATAAAAAAAGACTTAAAAAAAAAGTTTGTAGATCACCTGATACACAAATGATGTAAAAAGCACATCCCCCATACACTTTCAATGTTGCTATTTGCCAGATGGCTGTTACTGAAAATTTCTACATTTAGATAAATCCTCCTGTGTGATTCTCTGTATTATAATGTGGTTTAAATTATGCTGATAGTCTTAATGTCACTTATTTTATTAGAATGGAGGTAAAGAATTGGGAATAAATGTGTCAAAAATTGCCTAAAAATCATCTCCCATTGAATTTAAACAATAGACATTTACATTTTCAAATCCCATGTTTGTGTGTTTCATTATACTGTACAATATAATTAGTGATGTTTTGAAAAGCTTTATGTAGTAATTAGCCAACTGCTGGAAAGTTTGAAGTTCCTAGGATTATATACATATGAATTCAGAGGAAGGAAATAAAATCTGTAAACTTTAAAAGTATGACTAGGCTCTAAGAACTTTGATAAAATATGTCAGATGAGAATGTGAGCAAACTGGAACTCTGTTTTAACATTAGTCACTATAGATTTGAAATTCGTATAAAGCTGGTTCTTCTTGGACCCTGTTCAAGGTAATTTAATTACTGAAATAATAAGAGAACCTCATTATATGTGGATTATGTCTGAGGTGTTCCCATTGCAAGGACTCCAAGGGCAGCGTTTTAGAGAATTCTGGAATAGAAGATACCATTAAAAAGAACAGCCTGTTGCCAAGTAACTAATAACTTCATTGCAAAATCCAATGGCCTTTTCTCAATTCCCATCCAACTTGACCTTTTTATTACTTAGTACACTGTTGACTGCTCCCTTCTTGAAACTTTCCTCCCTTGAATTTCATTGTTCCCCTGACCCTTCTGTTCCATCTCAGTCTGCTATTCTTTGCTCTTCCAACTATGATTGTTTCCCAAAGCCTTGCTCTAATTTATCAGAGAATGTTAGGAGAATATAGTAGAAAGAACATTTGAAAAGATGTGTGTTCTAATTCCACTTTTACCATCAGTTTCATGGGTGAGTCTAACTTACTTGGGTACTGATTTTCTCACAAAATCCGAGTGGAGAATTGTGTTAGAGTTATGTCCTTTCTGACCATAATATTCTGAGATTTTCTGGGTGAATGACTCTTAAATCTGAATCTGAAATCTTCACCTCTACTTGTTCCATATTTCCAACTGCTCTTGAGAATTTGATGTTCTGTCACCACTTTAAATGCTGCATGGGCAAAGTGAACTCACCTTTTCCTCCCAAATCATCTCCCTTCGATACCTCTCCATTTCTGTAACTGATTTCTTTAGTTTCCTAGGTAGAACCTTGGAGTCATCTGTGACTCTTTCCTTTCCTTCATCCCCAATATATAATCTGTTCACTTAGCGCTTAGTTTCTCTGTCATTTTTGTTTTGTTTTGTTTCCCTTTGGAATGAGTCTGGGATTTTCCCCTTCTCCCATTTTACTTTCACAACTTAGTCCAGGCCTTGTATACTCACTCCTGTCCTGGGCAAGTGGTTTCAGGAGAGGAGCAAAAGGGAAACAAGGCTAGCATCTAAAGGGCAAAGACAGGGTTGGGAGTGGAAGAGGGCACTGTAATGATATGTCTGATCCAG